ATAAAATTTTCAAAAAACATAAAATAATGTTATCAAGGTTTTAGTCTTTCTGATTAGGATTAAGTGAAATGATTATCTTAAAAGAGATGCATGATACTATATGGTGGGGGTTATACAAATATCATGCATCTGAACAAATCAATGTATGTAATATATTACATATAACATATACTTATATATGACATGTACTATAGAGTCGGTTCGGGTTGGCTAAGGGGTCAACCCTAACCCAACCTGAAGCAAAATTGGGTTCATGAATTTCAACCTAAACATCAACCCGACCCGACCCAACTTTTTTCGGGTTGGGTTCGGGCTAACCTGGTCCAAGTTGCAGCCTTAATTAGAACCAAGGGTCTCTCCTTAAAAACCATAAGGTTGGTATGAGGTGCCTAGTTCTAAATGACTTGTATAAGAAAGAGTGGTCTACCTTTTGCCTTTCTGCTTAATGAATTCTCGAATTCTCACAATTATGTCATGTTGGAAGAAGAAGAAGAAAAGTAAGATTCCAAAGGACATTGTTTAGTTGGATTTATTCTCATCTTAGCTGTATAGATTAGCCAAGTATTCCAAATAGAACTTAGTATTATGTCAAAGAATCATCACTTTTCACCCTTGAGAAAGGCATATAGCCACCCCACGTAACTAGAGAAATACCATTGGAATTAAAGCTAAATCAAATTATGTGTTATATACTTATGTTTTTAACTTTAGATGTTTGATTTGATTTGCTAGTGGCCATTATTCTGTATAATGACAAAATCTTGAGCTGACAAGCATGAAAATTGAGGGGACCACTTTATGTGAGAAATGCCTATCTACCCTTCCCTTCCCAAGACTCCAAACAGCTGAGACCAACATTGGATGATGACCTTTTCATGTTTGATTTGATTTGTTAATTAAAAGGGAAAAAGACATTTTACAAAATTAATACTAATACAAGTTAGAAATTGATGTTGGTGATGGAGTGARTATTGTATCACCACTTGAACCTCATACCTCTAGAGGGGGAGAGGTTTCTTTTTAGGAGGGCAACCAAGCAAATGTAATTCCCACCGGATAACTTCCACCCATGGAAATGCTAAATCCATTTTGGGAAGCCAGGTTATGGAGCACAATTACCAACTCCACAAAGAAAACGTGGGCAGCCCTAGATTTGAAGGAAAAGATGGGAATAAGTCAGTAACCAAGCCTAAACGCTTGGGCAAGAATTGGTTCCATTGGCAGTTCACATTTATATTATATTACATTATATCAGAAGGTGCCCTATGTGAAAAAGAAGGAAACCTAGGAGATGTGTTTTTGTCGGATTTTTGTTTGGTCAAATACCCATGTATCTAACCATTAGATAAAATTAAACAAAATGCAAAAATTTTCAATAGGAACTTGCTTATATGATATATTCATCATATCAAATAAAAATAAATGTGGTAAATAAGAATTATGTTATTAATGATGAAAATGGTTCAAATATTTTTAAAATGTTAAGAAAATAGAGAATTAATGGCTAACCCTTAACCCATTAATCAAGGGGTTGTATTGGGTCAGCCACTGGTTTAAAGGGTAGCCAGGCCTTAAATCGACCCCTCTGAACTGGATTCAAAAAAAAAAATACCGATACTTTGACCCTTGCCATTAACTAGGTCAAATGGTTCATCAGTTCAGTCAATCAGGTCATCAGATTATTTACCAAGTCAATTTTTTTCCTCTTAAAAATAAGTGATTGTGGCGAAATTGGCCCATAAATCATGGTTCAAAATATTAATACTTTTGATACACAAAATTTGCATATCAAGAGTTTTGTTCAATGGAACTCATTTTTCAATGTGTTTGGTCGGACAATTTATCATTTTACATGTCTTCTCATGTAATGGTATTTAAAACAAATAAAATCAGTTATCTTTTATTTTCCTATTGAGCGTATTGATAATGCTTAAAAGTGAGGCATATTGTATGATATGCAATGATACGTTACGAAATTTTAAACCTTATCACATAAGAGGTGACAAACTGGCCAATCTTATTGATCAGTTTGAAAAAAAATGATTTTCATTAACTGAATTATTGAACCGCTAGTTACATTGTTAAATCCATGATTCAACAAAATTCCCAAATCCAGATCTGATAGACAGGTTTGAGCCACCTATCCACAACACTTCAGAGTTTTCAGAATTTAGTTTTAATGGTAATCAAATGCATCTTCCTCAGGACAGGTAGCACAAACCTATGATATTACTCATGGTTTTTAAAATCGGACCAGACAGAAAAAACTGAAAACTGGTTATCAAACGGATTCCGTTTCACATTTTTATTTTTTAAGTCAGAACAGGCCATCCAACCTGAAAACTGGTCCCATAATGATTTCTTATCCGGTCCGATTTTAAAAACCTTGATTTTACTAGCACTAATCATTATTAACAGATCAGATTTCTAACTCCCTCCATATGAAAAACAAACTTTCCAGTTAACCCTTTTTTTCAGATTTATTTTTGTTGGAAATGCGCTTTTCTACCTTTACAATAGATAATTAATACTTTTTTAATTTATCTCTTTTTGCGATACCTGAATGTTTTCCCTTTTATCCACCTCTTTACATACCAACCTCTGCACGTGCAAATCTTATCAAGTTAACACCCACATAAAGATAAAACTAACGAAACGAACGATCACCATTTTGCCGACCCAGATTTTTTTATTATCATTACATGCCCTTTCCTCTATAATTAATCTCTAGTTCCCTACCTTTCCACATATATATCCTCTCTATAATGAGAAATCTGAGACCCAAACAAGGAATTAGGAATTTCTCATCTGCCTTTTATTTTTTTATTGCAATGCCCTAAAGGATGAAATGGCTCTCTCTCTCTCTCCCTCTCACATATATCCAATCCTCTCTATAATGAGAAATTTGAGAACCAAACAAGGAATAAAGAACTCATCTGCAATTTATTTTTTTATTGCAATGCCCTAAATGATGAAATGGGTCTCTCTCACTCTACATGGGCCTACTCCAGTGGAAAAGACATAAAATAAAATAAAGATTTTCGGAAAAGTATGGACTGACCCATTGCAGATTTTTTAATTTCACTACAGACCTATGAACATTTAAAATGTCAAATATCCTTCTCTATACACTAATATCTGTCTGTGAATTGACATTAATTCCAAACTGGCACCTATCCCAACCGTACTTTGAGTCAAAAAAATTCTGACCCTGGGCTGAACCATCATTCTCCCAAAGATTTTTGCCTCCTCTCTCAATAAATGGGTGACAACTGACAACTCCTAAGTTGGTAGCATTTTATTTTTGTCTGAAATTTAATAAGCAAAGAAAATGTGGTTAGCAATTTATGAATCAATCCCTCCAAACACAATCAGTAGGGCTCCCTCTCAATTCTCAATTATGGCCAAACCCCAGTAAAATGCAAAAGGAACCAAACAATTTTGAGCCTCTCAGTCCTTGCAAAGGGTCCAAATGGAATCTACTTAAAACCCAATACCCATATTTTTACTGGCATGAATCCTATCGTTGAATGAAAATAAATAAATAATGGTTAAAAATTATTGGACGTTTCGAACAGTTTAACCATCCAAATCAGTGATTTATTGATCAAATCAATAGTTTTTGGCCAAAAGACGATTCTGGGTAAAATGGAACCTGTCATCTTCCAATCCGGTTTTGAAAACCATGCTCCCCACAACTTGATGGCATCTTCTTGTCTAGGACTCATTTGTGGGGCCTGTAAGCGTCCCCTGACTTTAATGTATTTCTGTGTGTTGTGTCGGTGGATTCGGGTCTAAGGTCTTAGTAAAGGGGATCAGATATTTGATGGACCCGGTCCCATTAGAATATAATATCATACATCAATCAGATTCGAGTTTTAGGAAAATTTGAACCATTGTGTTGGTATCATGTTGGATTTAGGCACCAATAAAGGTGGAACACGGCTGTTGAATAGATTCTGATGGGTGTTCAAATTCGGATACTGAACCGAAAATCAAATAAAATGAATTTATTCGATTTTTGGTTTAGTTTGGTTTGGTTTGATTTTATTAGTTTTTTCAATTAAACCAAACCAGAAATTGAATTATATTGATTTAAAATTGAACTAAATTGATTTGAATTCGGCTTGGTTTTGATGTCTAATTCGGTTAATTCGATTCATGAAGATGATTTAACTGAAATGAACCAACCAAATGAACACTTTCATTACTCAAAAGTTATACCGGGTTAATCTCTGTTGAAAATTTATCAAAATTTTGTTGGGAGAATAACTGTTCAGTTTATCGTCAGAATTCTTAGTGCGTGCAATTAGAATAGATGTCAATTTTGAATTAATGTCAATACACATATTAACGAGTGTTTAAGGTGAAGGTGTTTGAAATTTTGAATTGTTGTAGATATAGAATGGAATTTAAAATTCTACAATAAGGTGAAGTTTAATTTTCCGTTTGTTTCAAACTGACTCATTCCGGTTTAGTGTTGGCTTTTTGCATTTGAACGGACCACGTTCACGGTTCATCAAATACCACTTTAACACCATGTGAAATATGAAATTTTGTTTTTGTCACTGAACACCACAAGAGTCAACAGTTGGCCCCCGAGATCCGACAGTGTGGATTAAAATCCCCAATTCACAACGAAATACTTCTGATCCTACGGCCAATGTTTTCTCAATCAACGGGAGCATTGACATGCGCATAATCCCATCGCTCTTCTAAGTTCTAATCCGGATTGAGAATCACGTAAACCAGGAAAATGGTAATCATATAATGGCATCTACGTAATTTTACCTTAAAAGAGAGGCAAGTTTGGAAATATAAAATCAGGTGTGGGTGAAGCAAAATGTATACATATATATATTTTTTAATTTTGTAATTTGTAATTTGTAAAATATATAAATAATTAAATACGGTAAAATATTTAATATTAAAATAATAACAATAATCCACAAGGAGAGGGAAGAGAGAGTGAGAGATAAATAGGGTTTTGAGATTAGGTTTTGCAGCTCTCTCTCATTTCTTGGCTGCCACTTTCATTCTCTCGTCGTCTCTGGCATTGCGGCTAGGGTTTCTAGCGACTCCATTTCTCTCTGTCTAAGAGAAAACAAAAGCCCTAAAGCGAAGTTTCTGTGGTTGTCTGCTGAAGATCTGAATCCATGGAGTTGAGGAACAACTAAGGTTCGGTTGCTATCGCCGGTTCAGTCTCTTTGAGTTAGGGTTCTTCGCGGTCGGAACAGAAATGGCAACTGCTAACCCTTTCGACCTGTTGGGTGACGATGATAACGACGATCCGTCGCAGTTGATCGCTGCTCAGCAGCAGAAGTTGTTACCGAAGAAAGCCCTATCTCCGACGCAAGCCACTGCTCCACAGCAGACCAAGCAGGCTAAGCTGCCCACCAAACCCCTTCCACCGGCCCAGGCTGGTGAGCTTTCGTTATTTCTAGTTCATCGGGGTCTATCATTCTTTTATAAATCCATGTTACTATTTTGCACTTCGTTTGTTTCGTCAAGTAATTTAAGTAGTGTTTTCCTCGTTTGTCTGTAATATGTGCCCCTCTGCTTCGTGTTATACGTATATAGTGGGAGAAATGCTTCTTATTGTTTTGTGAACATGTATGGAGGAACATTTGGATGCGATTCTGTCTGTATTTATATTCCTTCAGTTGCAGGGGCGGGATTTGTTGTCGTAGATTGCTTTATTTTCCTTTCTCATTCCTATGCGTTAGTTTGGAAACGATGTTCTACTGTCCATCGGTTCAGAATTTTGACTTTAGTTTATATTTGTTGGCCGTGACACTGCAGTCTGTTCGATTAGGATGAGCGGGGTTATTGGATCTCTGTTCACATGTAACTTTTGAGGGAAATATGGTTATTCAATTGTTTGTCTACTCCCCTGTGATTSGGATAGAAAATATTGGGTTCTTACATTGGAATTCATTATGGTGTCCTACTTTCTAGTTTCTACCTTCATTGTTGTAGGGACAGTCTTTCCCCTCTTGTCTCCCTTTATTTTATTTTGTTGGCAAAATGTCTCCTCTTGTGTTAGGATTTAGGTTTTGCATGCCAGAATTTTTACCTATTCTTTTAGTGCAATTTATTTTTTCCTATCTTCTCTTGCGGAGGTTGATTAATGTTTTTAGTATACTTACGGAAATGGATCCAAAATTGGCAAGCTCAAGTCATTTATTGACATAATTATTCTTTAAGGAGTGCGATATATATTTCCAAATTAACCATGCTTCATCTTTTTGTTATTTACTTTTTCTCTTCTTTTGAGTAGTAAGAGAGGCAAAGAATGAACCTGCCCGTGGAGGTTCATTCTTTTAGTGCAATTTATTTTTTCCTATCTTCTCTTGCGGAGGTTGATTAATTGTTTTAGTATACTTACGGAAATGGATCCAAAATTGGCAAGCTCAAGTCATTTATTGACATAATTATTCTTTAAGGAGTACGATATATATTTCCAAATTAACCATGCTTCATCTTTTTGTTATTTACTTTTTCTCTTCTTTTGAGTAGTAAGAGAGGCAAAGAACGAACCTGCCCGTGGAGGCCGAGGTGGTGGACGTGGATTTGGCCGTGGTGGTGGGCGTGGATTCAATAGAGATTCAGTTAATAACGAAAATGCATTTAGCAGCAATGGATTCTCTGGAGGGTATGGTGCCCTTGAAGAGGGAGATACTGGGAAACCCTCTGAAAGGCGTGGCTATGGTGGACCACGTGGTCCTTACCGTGGTGGTCGTCGGGGCGGATTCAATAATGACGAAGTGGCAGAAGGGGAGCACCCTAAGAGGATATTTGAACGTCGGAGTGGGACTGGTCGAGGGTGAATATCCATTTTGCATGTTTTACCTATAGAGTACTTGCTGTTTTGTCTTGCCTATATGCTTTATGCACCTCAATTCTTTCATCAAACTTCATTATGTGTGCAGAAATGAGATGAAACGTGAAGGATCTGGTCGTGGTAACTGGGGAACTCCCACTGATGAAATCGTACAGTGAGTATTTTGGTTTTATCCTCAAGTCTCTTTTCACATTTTGGGAACCTCTAGTGATGTCATAAGTTCCTGCTGTTGAGATGCATGTTATTCATTTCTAGTTCGTAGCCATTTTTGTTGATTGCCTATTTCTTTTCTAATTCTACTAATTTAGGGAGACTGAGGAAGTTGAGAAGACTACAATTACTGAGAAGACAGGGGGAGAGGATGAAACTGGGGATACCAACAAGGAGAATCCTGTAAATGAGCCAGAAGAGAAGGAACCTGAAGATAAGGCGAGTCATTTTGCTATTTAAGTAGAAACATTTTTTAAGGCATACATTTCATGAATTTAGAATTTAGGGACATTTTATAATAAAAACAATAATCATTAAAATTGCCTTGGGAAACAAGATGTGTGATACAAGTTGCCTTGGGAAACTATATCATTAATCATTAAATTAATATTATCATGCATTACTAACATGGTTATGATGGCCCTTTTTTTTTCTGCCAGGAAATGACACTTGACGAGTATGAGAAGGTACTGGAAGAGAAACGCAAGGCTCTGCAGGCACTGAAGACCGAGGAACGGAAGGTGAACTTGGACAAGGACTTTGAATCCATGCAGCAGCTTGCTAGCAAGAAGGGCAATGACGATGTCTTCATTAAATTGGTGAAGCCCATTGTAACAGCTGGATGTTTTCCTGTGTTATGTAACTGAAATCTAGCGATTCTAACTTTGATTTGTTGTAGGGTTCGGAGAAGGACAAGCGCAAAGAGGCGATTGACAAGGAAGAGAGAACTAAAAAGGTACATGTTGTTCACATGATTTGTAAATAGCTTTTTTGGCATGCCATCAGAAACACTAGTGATGTTTTTATCATTCTGTCGTTTATATTCTTGACACCTATTTTAACTATTTTTTGATTTCAAATTTGTTGATTGAACTATTTCATGGTTGTTTTGTCTATTGGGTGTTGCCTGAAGTTGTACGCTATTGTTTGGGTCCTGCAAGTTGTTTGTGCATATTTGTTTTGCTGGCATAGATGCATTAAATGTGTAATAGTGTATGGATGATAAGAATCACGTGAACTTCTTAGCTATGTCTTGCATGTGTTGCCAATTTTTGTTGGTGATTATGGTCAAGGTTCAAAGTATCGATATCAGCCCGATATGCCCCTACAGGGGGTGTTTTGTGGTCTCGACCGGTTCAGGGGTGTATGGACCTTAAATTGACCCCTCTGAACCATATTTGAAGAAAAAGCTTAAAAAATAAAAAAAGGCTATTGATACTGTTCAAAACCCCACTTCCAGCATATTGAGCATATTGATATTTTGAGCTTTGATTATGGTTACAGTCTTTAATGAACCATGTGACAGGTTCAATGTATTCTCTATCTAGTTTTTTTTTTTTTTTTTCACTTTTATGGATCGATCTTAGAGAAATTCTCTTTTGAATATGTCTGGTTATCCTAGAAACTTATCATGGTTAGTTTGTGATTTTATTAGAGCCTCAAGATTATTCTTTTCTTTGGGATTTGGAAATTTTCCAATTGTATATATAACGAACTTCCCTTCCCAGGCACTTCCTGAAAATTTCGTTGTCTAGATTCAACAGCCTGTGCTGCATGACATGTTGGTTCACAGATACTTTTTACAGTATCTTGGTGCTGGATGCATTACATTTACAGGGTGAATTAACATGTCACGCATGTTAATTGTAAGTTGACATAGTGTTTAGATATTGATGCTGCCTTTGTTGTGTTGTACTGATGTCATTGCTATTGATAATTATATTTTTACTCCCGTATAAATGTATAAATAAGAGCTGCATATAATGTTTGATCTCATGCCAAACTAGGCTTCTTTTTTGTGGTTGTTCATGCCAACTGCTACTCGAGTTCTGGGTAATGATAGTGCTGTAGTGAACGACCCTTGAATTTATTGTGCAGTCTGTGAGCATTAATGAATTCCTAAAGCCTGCTGAAGGAGGGAGATATTATAGCCCTGGAGGGCGTGGTCGTGGACGCGGAGGCCGAGGTTCCAGAGGAGGATTTAGTGGTGTGAACCAGGCGAGCAATGTGGTGGCCCCGTCAATTGAAGATCCCGGGCAATTCCCAACCTTGGGTGGCAAGTGAGAGAGATTTAAGCTCTCCTCATACTTCTCAATCTCTATTTGCTTTTTTTTTTATTTTTATTTTTATTTTTATTATTATTCCTTTGTCCGGGTTCTTCCTTTGTTTTTGATCGTGAGGAGTTGGGTGAGTGGCAGTGGCACAGGATATGCACAGGAATAATTCAGTTTTTCCTGTATTGAAAAGAGATCGATCCCTGGGAACGTTTTTTAAATGTAAATTTTAGGTGTTTAATGTGTTTACATTTACTGTTGTTTTCCTTCATGGATTTTGTTTTTGTGGGGTCTTTGGAATGTTGGATCATGGATGATGCATTAGCCCCCAGTGCCCGGTTTGGCTCTGGCGGGCGGGGCAAATGGGAGGTGAGCGCCCGTTTAAATCTCCTCGGTCCTCTTACGAGGAGCCGACATTATTCGGCAAAATGCTTGGTTTTATTGGAGAAAACAGGCTGGGCTACAGCCTACAGTCTACTTTCAATTCCTTCTCGGCACGTTTGCCCCCCATCCCTTGCATTCATATTTAGTTCTTGACTATTTTTTTTGCTAAAAGAATATTTGATTTGCAATTATTATTTCCCCAAACCCATGCTAACGTGTATTTTCCAAACAACCAAACGTTTTTCAAATTAGTCAGCTTTATTTAATACTCCCATGGCCCAGTGTTTTGTAAGGGTCCTGTTACCTGTTAGTTGCTGTTGGCGGATGAAACAACTTAGATTCTTCTCATTGACCCGTTTCTGGCATCAATCATTCATCAAACGAGGCTGTGGATAGTGGAGGCTGATCTGGTGGTAGTCCAGAATTAGAGAGTATTGTCTTGTTCTTTGACAGCCGATTTAGTTGGTAGGCTGATAACAACAATTAGAGAGTATTGTCTTGTTCGTTATTTGTTTGCAAAAGTTGAGTATTTGTTTTGGTTGGGGTTGGACTTGAAGACTTGGTTATGGACATCTCTGGCAGTCGGTATGGTATTTTAAAATTTTCAAACTATGGGCTATATTACTCAAGAGACCACCATATCAATTACATGGGTCAAGAAAATAGACAGCATGTCCCGTTACCATCTATTAAAGTTGACTGAAGCTATGATTAAAATGCCCTTAACGATCAACTGTCTTATACATTTAAGTGGTGTTTGATAAATATGAAATCTGAAAAGTTAAAAAGATATTAAAAGTGTCTAAAATCTAAAAAGAGTTATGATGCTTTTCTACTTTTTAGATGCTCTAAATAGACAAGGTTGTTTGTATTGGATCAACCATTTAGCATTTAAAGTTCCCTGATTTTATCATTTTACTTCTAGAAAAGACTATTTTGAGTTCAATTTGCACTATTTCATATCAAATAATTTATGAAATTCAAAATAGTATTAAAATAATATGAATAAAAAATAATAAATAACACAATTAAAATTATTAAAAATAATTGATGACTAATAAAAAATAGTAAAGTAATTAATACCTAATAAAAATTAAAATAATTAATAATTAAAAGTAATAGATAAGAGGATTTCAAATGAAAAAGTGGTTTGCAGTTGGGTTGAGCTTGGAGTTCATGGTGAGTTATGATGAATGAAAAATCCAAAAACATAAACAAACATACAACCGAAAAAAAATTGATAACCAAATTCATCAATGGTTTGGAGATTATAACAACTATAATTTAACAAATCAAAATCAAAATAAACATAAAGAGTTGTTTGAAGAAGAGCAAAAACATAAAGATTAGAATCAAAATAAGCATAAAGATTAGAACAACTRTAAGCCAGTGTTAAACATAAAGAGTCGTTTGAAGAAGAATATCTGAACCCTATGAACAAACATTTGAAGAAGAGGAGGAGGATACCTTCGACGAGACGAGAAATGATCTTCAATTGAGACAAGCGTTGATCTTCAGACAAGACGAGCGATGGTCGTGAGGATGCTCTTCTAGAGAGAAAACACAAATGGAGGAAAATGTTAGGTTTTGGGGTTAATAAGGGCAAAATCGCATCATTTCCATGTTTTTTTGGGAGGTATTTTTGACTTTCGGCTTGCTCTGAAATGCGTTTGAGCACGTTAAGAGCTGGCCCATGAGCTTTAAAATTCAGATCTGAATGAGATTCAGACCCATTTTCAGAAATAACACCAAATGATCTGAAAAACACAATTTTCGGACACTGAACCTCTGAAAAGCATTATCAAACGCCCCCATAGTGTAAAACACCAGAAATTGCAAAAAAAAAAAAACTTAAGAAATAAATAAAATTGTAAAAGAAAATAAAAAAATACACAAAAATATAGGAAAATTGCAAGAAGTTTCAAGAAAAATTCAGAGGAAAATGCAAAAAAAGAAAGTTGTAAAAATACAAAAATTAAAGAAAAATAGAATTGCATAAGAAACAAGAAAAAATATAGAAAACTTAGAAAATACATTAAATGATAAAAATTGACATATATTTCAGCCAAAATCAGAAATTGCATAAAATATTGTCGACGATCAATCCACATGTTTGAAGCGTGGGCTTCCCGGATTATCCCTAGCTTGTAAAACCGTCCGATCAAGGACCGGTGGTGGGTTCACCAGTTTCTCACCTCTAGCGATCTTCGCCCAAGAATTGATGAAATGAATTGTGGATTGACCGTCGACAATGTTTTTCGATATAGCCATGCCGATGCTGACAACGCCACAGCGGAACCGGGTGAGTTGCATCAATAGCAAAGGCAGGTCGTTAATGGGGGAGCTATAGTCAACATAAGGGATGGGATTTCGATCTCTGGGGTGGGTGCGAAGTCGCCCAATCAAGTCGTCAATTTTGGCTTCAGACTCTGCGTCAAAGAGCTGAGCGCCCATGCCTTCGTAGTCGAGGTTGAGTTCCCAGGCAACCACCGTCGATCCAGTGCAAACGTCCTGCTAGTAGGTAGAAGTGCACCGACACTTGGCTTAAAGCCTCGCTATTAGGAAAGTGAATAATATCCTCTGATTTAGGAAGGTGTACAATTAGGAAAGTGTATAATATCYTCTGAATTAGRRAGGTGTATAATATCTTGTTAGACTTTCCTTTTCTTTTACTTACTATTGTTAGACTTTCTTTTTTCTTTTACTTACTATTTTTCTGCCCCAAACTTGTATATATATTGTAGCCTTCGGCCCTTCTTGTACATGTTTTCCATGAGAAAGAATTTCTCCCACTAAAAGTTCTTCTC